AATAATAAGTAAAAAATAACAAATAGCAGCTTATATATATATATATATATATATATGAGTAAACATACTTCATTTGTAGAAAATTCTTCATTCTTTAATTATTATTTTACTACCACTGTGGAATCATTCCCAATTGCCATACAAGTTGGCATCTATGTTTTTTATAGTCAACATGAAGTCTATATGAACATTCATGAATTTAAAATTTCCAGTATGCTTTTTAATTCTCGGCTTTACAAACCACTCTTTTGTTTTATTTATTTCTAATCCTGTTCTTGAAAATTATAATAAATTTCCCTATTTTCTATTTTAAAAAAAAGTGCAATGGTTTCATTTATAAATTTGCCCTCATTGTATTTGATGAATCCCTTAATATGAGCCAGAAAATTAGAATTCATTATTGTGATTACCAGATTTTATATTAATCTTATTATTGTATTATTGCTTTCATTAATAACTATTGTTTGTTCATAACTATTGTTTTGTTTAGTGACTAACAATCACAAACGCAATTCTTTCGGTTTCATTTTTATGATACCTTTTTAAAAAGTATTCCTTTTGTAGCCCTTCATATTTAGTGTATGCTTGAAAAATTTTAATGTGTTTCCTCATATGTTTGCCACAACTAAGGTATCCTTTAAGAAGTATGAGCTGGTCACTGTAGCAGAAAATGCTCAAAACTGCATATGCAACAGAACATTCAATCAATTACGCATCAATTTATGTTTGGAGTAGAACTATGTATCATTCCCACAGAACCCTAATTGCAAAAAAAGTTTTATAAAAATGGTAATGATTTAACTTGCGAAATTTGTAATTTTAAAAAGTCTTGTTACAGAACATATATAATTTTGCTCTTAAGAAACTTGCACCTTTCAGTTCTGTATAATGATCTTTGTAAAATATTTCTTAAAAAGCAATAAGTTAAAAAGTTTTTCTATTTTTATGGCGTATACTATACATTTCAATGAACATTTCAGGAGCTGCTAGTCCTTCAACAAGAGCTAAAAGAAGAGCTCAAAGAAGACTTACTAGAAATGAAAGTAGATATCATTCTGGTATGTATGAGATTTAGAAATTCTTTTTTTTAATCCTTTGCTTACTGCTGGTATAACAAGTGGACCAAAATGACAGGCTTAACCATGCCAAAGTGTTAAAATCCTTTTTCTTTTTTTTTCATTACATAAAAATATGAACTGGTTATGTATTTAAAAGAGAAGGGCTTTTTATAAAACAAATTTCTTAAATATTGGACGCCATATTTTTACAGAGTTTTTTTTTGTCATTTAGATTTTTTAAAAAATAAATAATTATTATGTCACATAATAAGATATAAAATTGCTTTTTTTGTGTGGAACTTCATAGATAACCTAAAATATCACAAGTTTAAGACAATGTGAATGAAATAATCTTAAGTTTCATACTGATCTAATATTTTATTTCAACAGATAAGAATGAAATTTCTAAATGTTATAAAATAATGATATAAAAATAAAATTTTTGAGATAAAAAAATAATAATAGGTAAGTTGGAGATTAAATTTTTTAAATTTTTCTTACATCTAACTAATTTGCAATGAATGGCAAGAAAATATGTGTGTGATAATCTCTGAGTGCAAAAGTTTCACTATTAAATAATCTGTATATTAATAAGATTATGAATATGTTATGAAAAATGCGACATTTAAAATTTGGAATATACTATTTTATGATTGTTAATCAGGTAAAAAAAATATTTTTAAATATTCATAATTTTCTAATCAGCTTGATTTCTTTAATTTGTATTTTTAGTTTCAGATGATACTGCTTAATTTCAATTTTTTCTCAGCAATGTGTTTTTAAATTAAATTTTATTCCTTGCACTTAATTTTATTATTTCCATCCAAAACTTCAATATATTGAAGAATAGAAATATATATTTTTATAAAAAATATAAATTGAATCTTAGTAGTTCTAATCATTAAATAAAATGTATTCAAGTAAAATAAGACAAAAACTTCATTATATCTGAACACAAATTTGAAATAAGATTTTGCATTCATATTTATATTATTTTTGTAGAAGTTCGACAAGAAGCTGTACAACAAGCTCTTGCCGCAATGCAAAATAGACCAAAGCCATCTGTTCCAATGCCATCAAAAAGAACATCAGTGATGGCTACGTCACCCTCTAGAGAACGCCATGCATCTGGTAATTTTACATTTAATCATAAAATTTACTCATTTTTGATTATTAATAATCAGATCTATTTTGACTGACTAATTTTGTTATTAAATTAGAAGCTTAATTTTACTAAATAGCTGGTAAGCTATTTAATAAATTGTAATAATGTATTTAATAGCTGTAAGAAAAGGCATCATAAATGTTGCACTGTAATTTGTTATAAAGTATGTAGTTCTGAAGTCCATTATGGTTTGTTGGTGTGAAATAAAAATAGTTTAAAATTCAACATTGGTTTGAAATTTTTACAATAGAAAATTTAAATTTTTTGGTTTGCCAAGAATCTCCCGTCTTTCTTTTTTATTAGCAAAATTCATAAGATAAATAAAATGTTTTTATAAAATAAACCTTTTTTGAAAAATAATACTCAATGACAATATGCAAACTTCACTTTTATTCAAATAAAAATTCAATATGCTTTAAAAATTAGTAGTCTGATTGGTGGAATCATTTGAATAGGATTCAGTCTCAATGGTCCCTAAGTTTCTAAGAATGATGGATCAAATATTAAGATATTTGTGAAGCTTCTAATGTACACCAGTATAGATAGTTTTTTTACATACTTTTTTTAAATATTTAAAAAAAAATTGTGTTGCCCTTTTGTTGGCATTTTTATAAAATATACTATGTAAACCTTAATATTTTTTTTAATAAACTTTTAACATTTTTCAACTTTGAACAATTTCAAGAAAGCTTTAATAAATACACCACTAGAAGTGATTAACTATGCTATGTTATTTACTGTATTTGCTATTTAACGCAAAATATTTAAGTATTTTTCAGTGTATGATTTCTAGAATATATGTCAAGAATATATTGAATTTTTATCAAAGTAAAATTATAGTTTTATAGATATGTTTTTCAATCTAGTTTATAAATGCAAAGATAATGAGTTTTGCTGATTTGCTGCAGACACTATGCCATTATTAATAATTTTAATTGCAACACCAAAATGTTACCTTGCTAAAGTTACTAAAAATTTTAAGTTGTACAATCTAACTGTGCTACTTAACTTTATTAGTGTTGAATATATTTGCAATTATTTTATTTGTTACTTGAATATAAAAGTAAGTCTTTTATTAGGGAAAAAATAAATAAAAAATTCTATATGTAGCGTAATTTTTGGTGCTTATTATTTGTTAATTAATATACAATTTTAGCTTTTCACTACTTTTTATTTTATGCTTTCATGTTCTCAGATTCCTCCTCTGATGATGACAGTGCTCTAAATGAAGGCAGCACACCCGAACAAGAACATCTTCCTTCTCATAATATCCATCAAGTTCCAACATCCCAATCTGATACATCTAGTACATCCTCTACACGTGAAACACCATCTCCTCAGCAATGGTATAATGGAAGACCAAATCGAGTAGATGACTATTGGGTTCATGCTAATATATCAAGTCCTATGACCAATCTGGCTGATGTCATGCAAAATCTCACACCAAGTAAGTTTCGAAATTTTACATATATTCTTTATAAACAATTTGTCCAACTCTAATATTCTGCTTCTGGTCCATTACCCAATATTTCACATATTTCTGATCTACCACCCATTTTTCATTATAGAGAATTTATCCAACTTAAATACTAGCATGTTGCTTTTAATCTTCCACTGATTATTTTATTATTCTTATTTTTTTTATTTTCACATAAAATTGGTCTAGCTCACATTTTCCAGGATTGCTTTTTATGCTCAGCTCAGTTTTTACAGAAATATTCTATGTTATTCATTTCAATTATTTTAATTCCTTGATCCTAGTAGAACATGATTATCATATGATGGAAACTTAAAAAAAAATAGTGGCTTCTATGAAAGTTATTTTTGTAATGTCAGAAACAAAAAAATATAGAAGCCCTATTGGTGAAACATTCATACTGAAAGAGTTAACAATTTACTTAGGTCGTTTTATATTAGACATTTACATGTTATTAAATCTAAATTAAATTATTTTTTCTTAGTTGGTAGTATATGAAATTTTTATTTTTAAATTAGTGAATGACTGCTTTTGCTCAACTTCAGTTATTAGCTTAACTGAAAATTATTATGAACTGATTTTTACAAAGTTTTATACTTTTATTAGTTTCTTACATAATTATTAAAATTCCTATGTTTTAAATTAAGGATAGAGTAGAATACGAATACTTAAAAAATTATGACTTTTTTTCCATTCTTTTAAATAACTGTGTCAAGAAATAAACATAATTTACACTGCTAAAACGCCAGTTTTATGTTGTGCATTTCGTGTGTTATCCTTCTTCCAATGCCATTTTCTGTTGGTTCCTAAAAATTGCCTTTACCAATAATGTTAAATTATCCAGATCTTGCACTGTCTGAAAACATACCGATATACACATTTTTCTAACAGATCAAAATAATTTTTTCTCCACAGAACTCACACTAACTTTTTCAATCTCTCTTTTTTTTTTAATTTTGTTTTTGTCTTTAAAAAAAGACGGAAAAAAAAACTTGTTTATTAGCTGTTTGAAGCAGTTTTGAGGTTCTTTTTCTTCTATCTGTTTGTCCATTTGTCAGTGAAAAGCAATTTCCCCCTTGAGTCAGAATCTGAAGGGAAGTTAAAATATGTGTGGGAGCTTAAATTACAAAATTTGCATGTGGAATTTTTCCCAGCAAACTTCCAAGTTTTGAATCTTCGGAATTATTAAACATTTTAAGAACATTACACTGAACAACTGGTTAGATAATCATTTCTTTTTCTTCGTTCTGGTGATCTGCAGGTTGCTCCTAAAGCAAAAATAAATGTTCTGGAAGCTCTAAATTTGATTTCTACAGCTTTGGACAGTGTCAACTAAAATAAAATGCATTACAAATAGGTTTTAAAAAAGCAAGCTTCTCAGTATCCAATGGGAATAATAGCCCTACAGTACTTGTTTTAGAGAGTTATTCTGGTTGTAAAAATATTCTCATGCTCAATTTAAATCATGTGTACATGAATGCATTAACTTCAAATTTCTTGGCATGCCTCATGCTCAATGAATATCACTTAAATAATAACAATTAAATGCAATTGTGTATTCATTTACTTTAATTTAAGTTTTGTAATAATCGCTTGATGAGTTAAAATATTCCAACATCTTCCCTATTCAATTTGAGCAGGGTATGTATTTAAATGTCTTTAGAATATAAACATTCCTTTTGATGTTAGATCATAGGAAGGCCTTATTCAAATAGTGGTTCAACTCCACTAATTTTATTTTAATACAGTGCCAAAAAGCTTTACAAATGTATTTTTCCTATCTTATCTGACATGTGGTTCTCTCTATTTGTCAGTAGAAATAAGATGGAGGGGTGCTAGTTTTTAAAATAGTATAGAAATGAATTGTACAAACATGAAAGTGGAGCTAGCTCAGTTTCTTAATTTGGGAAGTTGTACTACTATTTAAGAAGACCTTCATATATTATGTTAAAAATGAAGATTTCTCTGTTTTCCCAAAATAGAATGTGAACTTGAAAATTTTAAATTGTGCGAGTTTTCCCATTTTTGAAAAAAATAAATTTGGATAGTATATTGTTCAAGTTTTAAATGTTTTTTTATATTCATTCATTAGAAAATTCCCTTATATCCATTTGAATGTTATTTGTAGTGAGCATTGGCGGGTTAGAGCTATATGATTTTTATATTTATTAAAATACATTTATCTTTTTAGGTCTTAGTGTACAGCCAGATGTTACTAATACATCAGCTGAAGTAACTCGGTGGACATCAGCTGACCATGTTAACCGTTATAATCAAGCTCACATGACATCAGTTCGGATTACACATCATTCTTCAACTGGTTTAAGTTATGATACCGGTAATTAATTTTTTTTCCATTTGTTTCTGAGACTTGTTATTTGATCCACATACTTTTCTTGTACATAAAACTGACAAATGTATTTTTTCTAAGGTACTGGAAAGTGGAAAGTTTCTGCTAAAATCCAACAACTATTAAATACACTTAAGGTAAGAAACATAGATTTTTTAAATGTAGATAAAACATAGGTATTTATTTGAACACTGTACTGTTCATCCATAAGTAATTTATTAAATTATACTAAATTTAGTTTTTGCCTGCTCAATTGTTTTTTTTTTAATTAACATACGAGACAACCTAATTTTTTTTCTATTAATGGAAGTAAGTTTCATAATTGTTTTAAGATTTCATTGATAAAAAATATTGCAACCTCAGTGGTGCTATTAAACTTTGGAAACTACAGGTCCTTAGGACCCAGAACATCCTTATTTTTGGGTATCTTCTTATTAAAAGCGCGTCCTTATGTAAGATATGAATTATCTACCCCTTTTTCCCATCTATTAATATTCACTCTCATAATTATTCTGTCTATTGATAGACAAGGCAAAGAATTTCAAAACAAGAAGAGTTATATTTGAACTATCAAGACTTTTGATTTTGATTAAGACTGATGAAATACCTGCATTAAGGAAAACCAACAATGTAATACTCAGAATTAATCTGATTTTCTTCTTTAGCTATTAATAAAGTAGAAAAAGAATTTTTTTATATCGATGAATTTAAAGTTAAGTTATAATTTTGCCCGTAAAAATATGCTGTCAGTCTCCTTTCCTTGTATTTGAAACGTGTGTCCTAGTGAACACATCATAACTTATTTTTTGTATCCCCTTTACCATTTTTGCATTGCATTTTAGCAGGTAAGCAGAATTACTGCAACCTTATGAGTTTTTTGTTAAAATCCAGGTATAGTTGAGATAGTTTTCATCACATTCATTACTCACTAAGTCTTTATTTGTTAAAACTAAATGTTTTTTTATTTAAATAAAATTAACTTGTAATTTATATAAAAATTCTAAAAACCTTAATAAAGTAAAGAATAAATGTTAAGGATTTAAATTACTTAAAAATTTAAAGAAAGCAAGACATTCAAAGTAAAGAGAATCAAGCTGTTTATAATGCTACATTTGTTCAATTTTATCAAAATTATAATTAAATGCACAAAACTGGAGCAAAAAATAAAAACACTTTTAAAATACGCTGAATTTTTTTGTAAATTATGATTTTTATGCTTTAAATTTGATTATTAGGCGATCAAAATTAGTCTTTGCCATGTAATACAATTTAACATGCATTGTTTGATGTAAAATAGTATTAAAAATAACCTGCTTTTTTTGTTTTTTTTTTAATGTAGGGTCTTAATGAACTTTTTGGACCATAGAGTTTGTTACTTGTAACTAAATATTTAATCACTAGATCAAAATTTAAAATTCTGTATTAAAACTTCTGAAACTTGCTAGAAGACTAAATAATTTGTTTCTGTATTATAAATTATTTTATTTTATTTTATAGAGGCCAAAGAGAAGACCACTTCCAGAATTTTACGTAGATGATGAGTCAGAATTAGAAGGTATTTTTTTATAATATAGTTTTTGTTGCTACTAAAAATCAGAGCATTAATATTTTGTGTTTTTTGAATATTTATTTTGTTTTGTTGGAGATTTTAAATGTTTAATAACTGTAATTCTATCTCTCAACTTAATTTATTAACTTTATATCTAATAGTTTTCATCAACTTTAATTCTATATATTTATAATATATTTTATTGATTTATATATTATATTGCAGCTAAGCAGCTAGATCCAAATGCCCCAAGGCCCGAAGGAAATGTGATGGTACCCATCACCGGTGAAGAATTACTGGTGAGTTTTATGAATATATTTAGCTAAACTATGCACTTTGTAATCCTATCGTTTTTTTTTATTTTATTCGACTTGTTTTTAATGGCATTTGTATGTAAATAGAAAGTGTAAATTCAGTTAATGGTTACTTTTATTGAATATGAACAAAAGTTTCATTGAAGAGATTGCCAAATAATTTGTAATTTTAGTAAAGGGTTCAGTCTACTGTTTTTTATGATAGAAATCTGCTAAAACATTAGCTGTCACAAACAAACTTAGTTTATGATACAATCTAGTTACTTTTCAGGTACAGAAGACTAATTTTTTCCCATGTAATGGAAAAACTGTGCTGACTTGGAATATATTTTATGAATTTGCCTAACTAATACAACAGTTAAAGGGTTATCTAATTTGCTGTATAAATTGATTTCTCTTTATAAGACTAACTGAAGAAGTTATCATTCATTATCTTGCCACATTTTTTTATTATCTTACCACAGTTTTTAAAATTATTTTTGTAGAAAGGAGAGGAATTCTAATTAACAAGGTTTAACTTAAACTTTTCATTATTTTATTCATTATTTCTTTTCATTATTTCAAATTTATTTTTCCAGAATAGTGAGGAACTGTCAAATTAATTTTCTTACTCTGTATCTGGAGAAAAACTATTCATAAAGATCATTAGCTCTTTTTTTAAATCTCCTCTCCTATATCATGTAATTTTAAATCTCCTCTCCTATACCAAATAACATTATTTGGATCATCACTAACTAATAAAAAAACAAGGTTTAGATCTGCCATTTTATTTTTTATGTTGTTTACTGAACCACTTTTTAATGTAAAATATTTTTAGGTCATTCATACTAAAAAATGTGCAGTTTTTTTACAAGCTTGACACTTTACATTGTAAAAATTTTTGGTTAGGAGCAAGCATGCCCGATAATACATTTACAAAAATTCAGCAGTTATCTCGACATACTTTTGTTACTTTCATATTTTTTGTTGTAGTTATTTTCTATATATTTCTTATTTTTTTCTTTTACTTATTTTAGTGCAATTAATTTATTTTATAATAGAAGATTATAAAATATATCACAAATAGATATCACAACTATATTGCTAGATTGAATAAAATTATATTAAATGAAATTACATTAAAGGAAGATGTGCAGAAAATAAGCATTACTTCAAAACACGATTTAATTAATTACCCATTTCCTTATTATTTACAAATTGTAGCTATAGCTCTTCACTTATATGGCGACATATGTTTATTTAAACTATATTCCATATATATTTCTCTTCTAATGCAAAAGTATAAGCTGTGTCTTATAATTGATTTATTTATCTATTTTATTTTGGAATAACTTGCCCTAAATTCTATAGTGAAGTCGACCCATATCTGAAGTTTACTTAGAATTTGAGAAATTTAAACATAGCTTTTTTTTTTAAAGCAGATCAGTAGGCACAATAAAAAAAGAATTTAGCCCATGTCTTTGAAATGGGAAGCAAAAGATGTCTAGTTTCTATCTGATGGTTGCTGCTAGTACTGAAAACTTAAATTGTTGCGAATAGCATCAATTACTTTTGTTATGTTGTGAAAAATAAAAAAAGTGTCTAGTAATGCTAGTTTAAGGTAATCTGATTGTAACTTCATTATTAAAAACTCTCAGGTACAAACTTTCATCAACAAATAAGAGATTATATGCCATAGATATATATTTTTTCTTACATTCCTGTTTATAAATAGGAATTCTTTCCACCTATTATGAAAAAAAATTAAAGTGTATATTAAAAAAAGATAGGTTTTAATTTGACATGAAGTTTATGTTTAATTACTTTGAAAATAGAATGATAATATATCACTTAAATATGATAATTTTAATACTTAAATTTATTTTTAAAACACATAAGTGTTTTTTTTTAAGGCTAGGTATTCTAATAAATTAATTTTAAAATATCTAATGTAACATTCGTAGCTGGTTAAAGTTTGCAAATCTCATTGTTATAGTTTGCAATTACTGAATAAAATTTTTTATATTTGTATGTATGATAATCATCAAATTATAATTTTTTAGGTCCCTTCTGGTTTGCCTCTAACTTGTGAAGCGGCAATCAAAAGGTATGGCTCTGGAACATTTAAAGCTCCTGCTGCTACTGTTTTAGACACAACAGGCAAAATAAGTAATCCTTTAACTTATGGTAAGTTTTTATGTTAGGTTTAAGTTTTCATATTAATAGTATAAATAATTTACTTCATAATTTAGTTAAATGATGCAAATTTCTTAGTTTCTTCGTTATCATTATAATGCAATTTTTGTTTTGTAATTAAAACACTAATTTTGTTATTTTAAAATTTTGCAGGTAAATTATTAAGCAGATCTCAAAAAATTGGTTACAGTCTTTTAAATAAAATTGGTCAAAAAGGAGAAGTTGGAATTAAACCTGGTGATCGAGTAAGCTTGATTTAAAGTTATTTTTCATTCCCCTACATGCAAATGATTCAAAAGTTTATATGAAATGCCATGTTGTTCCACTTCTCTTGTGGAGGAGCTAATAAAATGTTGGCATAATTAACCAAAATTCTGAAAGCTTTAGTTTTTAATTGTCTACCATTCAATAAAATATTTGTTTACTGCATATAGTTTTTAATATTAATTATTGTTTAAATTATTATGTTTATGAATCAATTTTAACGAAATTTTAATTAGGCTGTAATTTTTTTTAACTTAATTTAAATCTGTTTTTTTAATTAAAATCCCACATTTTAAGCAACAGTTTTTGTTAGTTTTGATTTTTGCATAATAAAATTGACTTAGCCTTATTTTAAACACAATTAATATTTGTGTGGCTTTTAAAAGCTAAATTTTTTTGCTTAGACTTTTGTATCTAAAATGAAACTATTTTTATTTTCATTTTAGTAGTTTAACTCTGAATTGTCTTTTCTACATTATAATATGTGTATATTTGTTTAAAGAAACAGATATATCATATAAATATTATAACATCGAAAAAGATTTAACTTGTCTGGCATTTCAAGATTGTTTTAGATTTTACATTTCTAAATAATATTGCTTTTTGAATTTATTATATGCAAAATTTTGTTAACTGTTTATGTAAATGATATTTTATTTATGCTATAATTTATTTTATTAGGTGGCATTGGTGTACCCTAACAGCGACCCACTTTCATTTATGTGTTCATTTTATGGGTGTGTCACTGCTGGAGTAGTACCTGTTCCTATTGAAGTACCACTTACAAGAAGGGTATGTTTCTATTTGGAAAGTTTTAAAACTATATATGAAATTTTATTTCTATTTAATCCAAATAATTGAATTTCTTTATTCATGTCTCTAGGAAACTTTTATGTCAAATTTTATTTTGTCAATGTTCCATTATTTTGCTAGCTCATCTTTGTGTTTGTCATCCTCATCAAAATTTAAATATTTACTGTTTAGGATGTATCTGTTAGGATGTAAATTTAAATATGTACTGTTTAGGATTTATTGCATTTTGATTAGATCAATTTCCTCTTTTCCTTTAGGATGCAGGTTCTCAGCAGATAGGCTTTTTATTGGGCAGCTGTGGTGTAAATTATGCCTTGACATCTGAAGCATGTTACAAAGGCCTTCCGAAAACAGCTACTGGTGAAATCCACACATTTAGAGGTAAATGTTTATAAAATTAAAAATTGCTTAGTTATGCATCATTTATGAGAAAATGAATTTGTAAATGTAATACATCCAAAGTATCCGACATATTAAAAATGTTTCAACCATATACTTTTTCTTGTTTGTGTGTCATATTTTTTTACCTATCTTGGAATTTTGAGTGGCAATGCTCTTCCAAAATATTATTATAACATTTTTAGACATAATTACTATAACATTTTTAGAAATATTCAACGAAACTTTTTAAATAAATTTTAAGAATTTGAAAACTATTTTTAAAAATAAATAAGCTTAGAAGTCCTTTAATTTTTATTGAAAATTCCCTTATATGTTTCCTATTTGTACATTCAAATGTCTTTTTGAATATTGAAATGGATTTTTATAATTGCAAAGGATATGTGAAATTATGATTTTATAGATGTTTTAACACAAAATTGAATATCTAGTTACTAGTTATTATCTAAAATGTGACTAATAGAAAATTTAAGGGTAAAGCAAAAGGATCTTATTGTATACGAATTTTTTATATTTATTCTTAGTCACAAATATTAAATATTCTCATTGTATGATTGTCTCTAAATTTTGATTTTAAACATTTTTCTGGGTTTAAAAATGTTTTGCTGAAATGTTTTAATTGCAACTTTAGTGGTAAATAAGTGGAATATTGTTATATGAAATAAAAAAAATATCTAAAACAGAAATTGGGGAAATTCTGCTTTAAATAAAGTTTACTATTATTGATTAAAGTTATTTTTTAAGTAAAATATTTTGTTTCTTACTAAAACTTAAACTACCTTTATTCCACATTATTAATTTTATTATTTCTACATAATTTAAAACATTTAATACATAATTTTATTTATATATGTATTTTAAACAAATAACTAAAGAAGACTTGAATTTGCTTTATGCTGTAAGAATTACAGATGCCTGTATTGTCCATAACTTTGCATTTGAGCATTTATTTTATTATAGGTTGGCCTAAGCTCAACTGGGTTGTTACGGAACATCTGAGTAAACCTCCTAAAGATTGGATGCCACCTTCTAGACTAACTGAGGATACACCAGCTTATATAGAAGTAATATATTATTATACTTTTTTTTTAAACTCACATGTTATTTTATTTACCTACATGGACTAGCATTTATAAGTTTACTTTAATATTTGTAGTAATTTTTTTATATTTTCCTGCTACAATTTATTTTTTAAAGTTTTCAAAATGCACTAATTTTAAAATTTTACTTGAAGAAAACAATTATCAATTGAAAATTCTCTTACATGGTTGTAAGTTTTTTTTTTCTTCTTCAAATTTTAGTATACGGTTGATAAAGAGGGAGCTATGAAAGGTGTTGCAATCACTAGAATCGCCACTGCCAATCATTGTCGAACATTGACAGCTGCTTGTAACTATACAGAAGGTCAATAAAACATCTATATTCTATCATACATATAATGTAAATCATAGGATTATGCCTAATTATTTATCTTATACTTATTTTTAGGTGAAGTCATGGTTTGTGTCTTAGACTTTAAGAGAGATGTTGGCTTGTGGCATAGTATCCTTACGGTACGTTATTTTACTAATCTGAAGGTTTTTTGGGTCTCAACAGATTTGTGTTATATTTTAAACTACTATTAGTAAATTAAACTTTATAACTATTTATAAAAAGTGTTATTGGGGTTATTCAGATTTTATTTGTACTTTTCGTGTTTCTGTATGCATTTCGTCTTCGCCTTGCATTTAGATATTTAATGCTTTTTTATTGTTGTAAAATGATGTTTGCAAGCTTTTTAATGCAAATTTTCACTCTGCATTAAACTCAAAAATTGTCCTGTTTGTTTTTTCAATTTGTCAGTCATTAATATAGTTTCTCTGAAAGTATAGTTTTTAAAAGAGTTAATTATATTTTTATTTTAGAGTGTTCTAAATGGGATGCATGTAATATTCATTCCTTATGCTTTGATGAAAGTAAATCCTGCTTCCTGGTTAATAATGATTACTAAATTTAAAGGTCAGTTAAAAAAATTTTTAGTTTTAGCTTTATGTATTTTAATCATTTGTTTAATTCTATGTTTAAAATCCCAATCTAAATATTTGTTATTCTGTATAATTTTAGCAAGTGTTGCTATTTGTAAATCAAGAGATCTACATTGGGGTTTATTGGCTACAAAAGACCACAAGGACGTTAATCTCAGTTCTTTAAGGTTGCTTCTTATTGCAGATGGATCAAATCCTTGTAAGTTTTGTTTGTCTTTAATTTTATTGCCTTTAATTTTTTTTGTGTATGACCTTATTTGTAAATTTACACTAATTCGTAGGGTCCTTATCATCATGTGATCAATTTATCAGTGTGTTTCACAGTCGTGGCCTGCGTCCTGATGCTGTATGTCCTTGTGCAGCTTCTCCTGAAGGACTCACAGTTTCTATAAGAAGGTTTGATAATAAATATTGTTTTACCCCAATTTATAATATGACTCTAATATTATATATCTATCTTAAAAAATGTGAAGCATGTCAATTATTAAAATTCCAAACATTAAGTTAAATTAAATAGATATTTCAAGAGATAAAAAAAGTAATTAATTAGTTGCATTGCATTACTCAACCAGAGCTATCATAAGGGTAGGGAATGTGAGGACTCAATACCTATTGCCTGTGATGATAATTTTTTTAATAATTATAAAAAAAAAATTTAAAGAGTTATTTTTAGTATTGAAATTTGTAAACATTGTCTTCTATTTTATCATATAGATGAAATGAAAAGGCAATAGTCTCCTCATTTATATAGGCCCCACATTTAAAAAAAAATCTTTTAAATAAAAATTATGTAATTGGAAAATAAAATTTATTTGATCATCTTAAAGTGGTTATTTGTGGCCCTTAAATTCAAAACCCTCACTTCTAAAGGCTAGTAATGTTTATTATATAAAATGGTAAACTAAAAGAATGTCAAGTTTGCATTTAGGAATCAAATTCAGAATGAAAAAATTACACCTATTTAAGATTAGAGGCAAAACAAAAATCTGATGTAAGAAGCAATTCATTTACCTGGGAACAGTGCAGAAAAAATATTTTAAGGGCCCACAAAATGTTTTTTCTGGGACCTTTTTGAGACAGTTTTTTTTCTAAAAACAAATGAATGGCTCACCTAGTTTTTTTTTTATAATTACAAATGAATGGCTCACCTGTAATATAATATTTCTAATTTACAAAATTATTAATCCAATTTTTACTTATTTATTTTTATTAAATTATAAGATCTTATTCAGCCGCGGTTAATTACAGTATTCTTGCCCATTTATTTATGCATTCTAAGTTATTAGATTGCACAAAACATGAAAGCTTCTCATTGACTATGTTAGTTATTTTTATTAAATTTGAAAATATCATATAATTGATTTGGTGATTATTTTTTATTAATTGTTATCTTAAAATAAGCATATGCTATTCATTAATAAAATATATCTTATCTAAGTTTTCAAGAAGATGCTAGACAAAAATATCTTTTTTAATCTTAGAAGATTGCTTAACAATTTTGAAAAGCAAGTCGTAGCCTTGTTTAAGTTAATTAGAGAAGTTGAATAATTATAAATCGTTAATATAGTTATGAAAAAATTCTTAGGAATAATGAAATAAATATATGAAATAAAATATATGAATAATAAATATATGAAATAAAATAGCCTTTTGTCAATTCACAAGTTCAAAAAAGTGAAACAAGAATGTTTTTAAAATCTGATCATACGCTTCATTGTATCATCCCAACAAGAGTGTCAGACATATTTTGATATCCTCACCATGTAATAAAAATGGCTGTTTTACTCAAATTATGCTCTTATTTTTAAGAATTTATGACTTTGTTCTAATCTTTGTTTTTCTTATTTGATGCTTTAAAATTGCATAACATCTTCATATCTTTGTTTTGTTTTTATTTATTAATTTTTATAATCATAAATTGTAATCATCAGGCCTGGACAAATTTTGGGACCTGTATCCTGTGGTCGTGGAGTACTTTCTATGTCTGCTTTAAGCTATGGAGTCATTAGAGTTGATCAAGAAAATAGTTTAACATCTTTAACGCTTCAAGATTGTGGACAAATAATGCCTGGAGGTAAAACTTTTATTATAAGTCATAAATAAAAATTAGAAATCTATTCAGAAATTTGTTTTTAACTATATTTTATTTGAAATTTTTTATATAAAATAAATTTTTGGTGATTTTTTATCATTTAAAATTGTAATATTGGATTAAGGGGAAACAACACATAGAAGCCTATAAAATAGATGTTTAAGGCGTTCCTTGGCGTTTCACTGTTATTCTGAAGTACCTGATACTTTTTTGCACCAGTATAGTAATGCTATTTGAATTATTTTATATGTTTTGATAAAACTTATACCTAATTATTTTATTTACTTCTTTTATTTCTAATTTTTTGCAACTGTTAATCTCAGAACAGTCATTCTTTTTTTAAAGGACTAAATTTTATGAAAAGTTGTTACAAAATAAAGCTATAATCTAAATCCTAATATATTTGAAAATTTATCCTTTATAATTTCTGGTTGCACTTAATGTTTAAAATTTGTCTTAAAAAGACAGTACCTTAATTGTTTATGTAATTTTTTTAAATAGCTTATTCAGCTATTGTCCAAGTGAATGGTTTACCATTTCTCTGCAAAACAGATGAAGTCGGAGAAATCTGTGTATGCTCATATGGAACTGCTTCTTCTTATTGGGGACTGCAAGGCCTTTCCAACACTCTATTCAAGGTAAAAATATTGAATTTTTTTTCTAATTTTTAAAAAGCTATAGAAATTATTTTTCAGATTGTTAAACTTATATTTTTCTGTATTTTTAGATGCAACCTCTGTTTTCTGATGGACAGCCTGTAAATGATCAAAACTGGGTTAGGACTGGGTTACTAGGATTTATTGGACCAGTAAGAAAACATAGTTTTATTTTAATTTACTTTTACTAGTTTCATTTACAAAATTTTATTAAAATTTAATTTTCATCTTAAGAAGAGGAAAATATACTTTTTTTTTTTTTTTTTTTTTTTTTTTTTTTTTTTTTTTTTTTTTTTTTTTTTTTTTTNTTTTTTTTTTTTTTTTTTTTTGTCTAGTATCATGTTCATTCTTTTGTTTAGTTCGTTTACCTTTCTGATTTCATGATAGTATCAATTAGGAACCATTTCAGAAATAAATAATAACTTAATCTTGACCACATTATCCAAAAGTATGATCAATATCAATAAGGCTGAATAGATTGATAGCATTTTATCTATCAATTTATTTTAGTTAGCCTATTATACACAATAAAAAATCGTTTTCTTGGAATTTGTCAGAAAGAATTGGTCAAAGCTATTATTTTGAAAGTTTGCATTTTTAAGTATTGTAATAAATAGATTATATTTTTTTTCCAATGCCCACCTGGAGAATGAACTTACGTCATACAGGCATATGAAGGGCATATTTGTTGAACACTCTGTCAGGGGCACCATATTAGTTGGGCCAGTGTTGCTCCGACAGTAAAGACAGATAGTACAGATAATGAAAAAACACCTGTGTCGTGTCTGGGATTTGAACCCAGAACCTTTCTGATGCAAGGCCAGTTCTCTGACTCCTACACAGGCCGGAGGGCATAAATAGATTATAATTCAGAGTATTTTAAAGAAAAATTATCATTTGAATATCTATGATAACTGATGCTGCTTATTTTTCTTTTCAATTTTCATGTTCTATATATGCTGTGTAAAATTAGTGTTTGCTTGTAATTAAGTTAGTATTCAATAAACTCCTTGTATAGTAATTTCTATATATTTTTTTTAAATTAACGTAAGAAATTACATTATTTGTTATAAAATTATGAAATAGATATCCTGGAAAACTATCATTTCTCTATTTTTAGTAGTCCATTTTAAATATGTTATAATTTTTCTTTAATTCTTACTTCTGTTTACAGGGTGGTCTTGTATTTGTGTGTGGTACTAGAGATGGGCTTATGCAAGTAAGTGGTCGAAAACATAATACTGATGATATCATTGCAACAGTTCTGGCAGTAGAACCCATGAAATTTATTTATCGTGGAAGGTAATAAACTAGCTACATTTATCTCTGAAATAAATTTTATTGATATATTTTTCTTAAATTTATAAATTTATCTTGTAGAATCGCTGTGTTTTCTGTCAAAGTGTTACGGGATGAACGGATATGCGTAATTGCAGAACAAAGACCAGATTGTGCTGAAGAAGAGGTAAGTAATTTAAGTTTACTTGTAAATGTTTCTTCTCTTGTTCTATACATTCTTAATTTAGTAATTTTCACCTTAATCACTAGTATAATTTTTATTTCTTAGCTTGCAATTTAACAAATATTTTTAAAAAATTAACAAATTTATCATAATTTGTCTATGCATTAAGGCATTACTGTTCTATCAGATTCAAAATTACTCTAAAGATATAAGAGTAATTTAGTAAACAGGTAAGTTAACTAATTTGTTATGATTTTCATATCAGTAGATTGACCATTAGATGTATCTTCATATCCCACAGTTTAAAAACTGGTAAATTAACTGATTTGTTATAATTACCACGTCAGCAAATTCATTATAAGCTGTGTCTTTGTTAGTCACCTTTTAGAAACAGGTAAACTCACCAATTTATTATGATTTTTACGCTAAGAATCACTAAGGAAATTTCCCAAATGTCAATGTACACAAATTTTAGAGGAAAAGTTTGTATAGGTAAATTTTTATTTTGCAACTAGTAAAATTTCCAGCATAATGTTATTTTGTTTTCCTATTATTGTCTAGTTTTTATTTTTGAATTTTATTCCAATTCAAACCAGCCATCAAAAGCGAAGAAAACTTTTCTTCAAAGTACACTTTTTATTAATTTCTGATATGCTTTTAAGTTTGCTGATTATAAATCTTAGTTACAAGGTCAAACTTAAAAATAGCTTACCCAAATGGCAGATGTCAAGAACAATTATTGTAAAGAAAATTTTTTTTATGGTTTATTTAGGTTGCCAGCTACAGATCTAAAGCTAAATGTTTAAAATATGGTAAACATATTGTCTCATTATAACAGAATAAAACTTAACTATAAGTACATATAGTATTTTTTGCTAATTATGAATCTCGAATCAGAATTCATGAATATTTTTATAGTAAATTTGAGTATGGGTGTTTTTAAGTTGCAGTCTATGACTATGAAAACGCCAAGTGCCATAATTTTATGGAGATGTCATCCTAACATATACACAGCACCAGCAAAATTAGATGTTAAAGAAAATAAATAATTAGCAGATAGGCCATATTATCATATTTAGTGCTGTGGGCAAAGAATGGGTTTTCAAAATATTATGTCAAACATTCATGGACATGACTTGTTTCTCTTAATTTTAAATTGAAATAATTATGAATTTCTAGCTTTTCCCTTATTCTTCATTAATCAGGAAAGAAATAAAAGAAATGAAATTGCAATTATTAATGAAAAATAACTTACTCAATTATAATCCCCTTGAAAGCCCTGAATCTTGGAATAGTGAAATAAGGTTTTATCTCCCTTGCATCTTTAATTTTAATTTGTTGTTGGGAAAACCACATATTTTTAAGATAAGAAGTCTCTTTAATTTTACTAAAGTATAAAAATAGCTTGAGAACAGAGAAGGAGAAACCTAATGATCATTGAGATCCTGTGTCTCTAAATACTGCTTTATATTCTGTATTATAAGAGAAATGTTTATAAATGTTATGGTTAAAATCTTATAAACCACATTTAATTTTCTCAAAATTGTGGCAATACTAAAATCAAATATTTTTTTATGTTTTTGGCAAAATTGCTACATGGTTTTTGTTATATTGTATTCTACTTTGATTTTGACAATTTGAATTCATAAAACAATTTGATCTTAAAAATATTTATTTTTTAAATTTTACTTTTATGTTTTTTCCAAGACATTAATTGGTTAAAAGTACTAATTAAAAATGTTGAACTTTACCATGCTTTTATAAAAGTTATTTTATGTCATGTGTTCTGTTTACAGTCAGAGGGTTAACTGGATAAAAGCAAACATAACAGTGTTAAATGTTTTTTCACTCAATGTCTTATGAAAAAAATAACTGTGATTTGCTTTGGTGATAATTCTAATGAACTGTTTTCTATTATATTTTTTAGAGTTTTCAATGGATGAGTAGAGTACTGCAAGCTGTTGATAGTATTCATCAAGTTGGAATTTACTGTCTTGCTTTAGTTTCGCCCAACTGCTTGCCAAAAGTAAGTAGAAATATCAATAGAAAAATAGATTTTGCAACCTGTTTATTCTTGAAGGTTTGTTTCTTGCAATTAGAATTGTTTTGTCATATTTATCAAAATATCATTTTTTTTTGTTTATTAGTCAATTAAAAACTAGATGGTCTTACTTCAAAACTGTAACATCTGAAGAATGTATAGAGATGATTTTCTGTAATTTCAATGGCCTTGTATTTTTTGGTACATTTTTTTCCTTCAATTTCTAGATTATTTTTTACTTCTAACTTCGTAATTTGCAATACTATTATGAAAATTATCTAGATGATAATGAAAAACATCTAGAAATCAGAATCGAAATATTGTGTTAATATACAATGTACTGTGCTATGGGTTGAGCTGGTTAACTGTTACATTTTCAGTTTTATATATTTCCTAAAATTTTTTAACCAGAAAATCATATTTAATCAATTCTATCATTAATTGAGCTTGTTTTCTATGTGTCAGGAACAAAATCTTGGTCTCTATCCACAGGTTTGGAAATCCGAATCTACGATGTTGAACGAGATAGTGACAAATATTTACTTTTTGACTATAAGCTTGGTTAATAGTCAACTTTGCTGCATCACAAAATTAAAAAAAAATCTTACACTGCCTATCATAGTGTATAATATGTGTATTATTCAGGGTGGCCACCCACCTGGAAAACCTTGAAAACCTGGAATTATCAGGGAATTTTTTTTATACTGGAAAAAACCTGGAAATATCAGGGAAATTTGGATAAAAACCTGGAAAAATCAGGGATTTTTAAAGAAAAGCTGGAAATTTTTCTTTGATGATTTTTCAAATTTCACTAATTTAAATTATTTGCTAATTTTCTTAATTTAAATTATTTCATCCATTATACCCACTTTTTTTTAACGGAAATGTATCGCCAAACAGTTGAAATATCATCAACTTAGCGATACTTTGCTTGCATCAAAATTTGCTCCATTATAGTTCTGTTAAACTAGAATGCCATATAAAATTCTTCCACGGTTGCTAAACAAATGTGGAAACTTTTGACCGCTATGGGAATTTAGGAAAATTTAGGTAAGATTCTGGTGGAAAAAGGGATTAGGATATTAGCTTCTGTTTTTAAATTCTGTCCTTGGGCTAAATCCATTTATGGCTCAAGTTTGTTCCGATGCTTTGGTGGTTTTTTTTTTTCTCTATTTTGACAAAATGTTTTTGTATTTTTAACTTTATAAAATTCTCCAAAAATTAGTTGGTTATAATTTTATGATAATAGATTTTATATCGCACTCTTTTTCTGAAAGCTTTTCTACTCCTATTCAAAGAAATCTGTGAATTATTTTTTCTGAGCAAACCAACCAATCACACATTTTTTTACAATCACTAACAGCAATGTTTGTCGACAAATTTTTACAATTGTTGCATTAATGCTAATTTTTTCTATTTCATTTTAACCTCTTATAACATATTTTAATTTTAAACAAAAAAGGCTCCTTTGTTGGTCAATATATGATTTTTGATTCAAAATTTTGTGCCAAAACATTAAAAAATAAATAAAAAATCTTGAAAATTGTCAAAATAAATTATTTTTTTCAAGATGATATGTTAAAAAAATAACATTTTGAATAAAATATTTTATAATATAGACACTTTTCTTGTACACATCCTACACTTTATAAGAAAAAAGAAACGAAAACCTGGAAATTTTAAGATTTTTATCTGGAAAACCTGGAAAAATCAGGGAAATTTGAAATCTGATTTGAGTGGCCACCCTGAATTTATGCCAAGTGTAATAGCATTTTTCCTTCTTAAAAAAGTATTTTGTTATTCCATTATCCTGCATAGTTTGTACTTCCAAAAATATTTTAACCTGCATGACAACTATGTATAACCTTAATGCCATTAGGAACAGTTAAGATACCTATTTCATTAGAATTATTTGTATCTTTAAGAGAAATAAAATAATCCCAAGAAAATTAAGTGAAAATAATTTAAAATACAGTACAGAACCCGTTATCCGGAAATCAGAAAACCGGAAAACCAAAAAACCGGAAAGAAATTTGATAAATTTTCCCGCAATTTTTAAAAAAAAAAAAATTTTCCTCATAAGATTTTAGGATTTTTCGTTCTTTTTTGAAAGATGTTTACCTTACCATAATTTCAGAAATAATCATTAGTGTATTACTTCATCTTTTTTTCTTATTTTTAAGATTATTTCCAAATAATATTCTTTTTTAGTTGGGTTTAACACTAAAAAAACGGCTTTTTGAAGCGATTCAGAAAACCGGAAAAATCAGTTATCCGGAATAGCGATAGTCCCGATCGTTCCGGATAATCGGTTCTCTACTGTAATAGCTTTATTCACTACATAATTTTTTTCTTCAATTTTATAAACTGAATAAAGTTATTATTTTTTATTTATTTTTATAGTTTCCTATTATATTGTCTTTCAAGCCTTAATGAAACCGTAAGAATAATATTTTATTTGTGCTTGTCATTTTTTTGTTTATCATATTTTTTTTATCAACTTAGGATGTAACTTGTTGCAAAGCCTTTTATTTTATTACAGTCATAAAACAAACCTAAAAATATGGTGTTTCTAATTTAAAATCGTTTTTAGACTCCTTTAGGTGGTATTCATTTATCTGAAACAAAAAGACGATTTTTAGAGGGAAGTTTGCACCCTGCCAATGTTTTGATGTGCCCTCACACCTGTGTTACCAATCTTCCTAAACCTAGAGAAGCTCATCCTGGTAGGAAAATTTTCAAAATTGGAATTTAAAAGTTTTTATATCAATTACTTCTTTTTCAGACTGCAAATAAATAATAAAAAGAATGTATCAACTGTGAATTGCGAAAAATTATGTAAATTTTAATTTAGATTTGTGTTAATAAATATTATTTTCTTAATTTTGTGAAGGTGAGTTCATTAAATAAACTAACTATTTGAATATTTAATATTGGATAACTAACCACAAATATATGGGCCATTCAAATAAATTATACTAAAATGTATAGTATTATAAATGTTTAGTGCATTTGAATGGCCCATATGTCAAGGAATAATTTTTGAGATTTATCCCCATTTACCATTCCCAATTAGAATATTTTTTCAGAGATACTTAGACCTGCCAAACTAAATTTCGAAAGGTGGTAGAATAAAAAGCTAAAAATAACTACGGTAAACATGAACAAATAAGGATAAGAAAACAGTGAGACTAGCATATCTTTGTGACAAAACAGATTTCGGTAATGTTAGCAAATTCAAAAGTAAATTGTAAAAATATATTTTGAGCAATTGTAAAATAAATTTTAAAGAAAAGATAAACATTTTGTTACTGACTTAACTTAATATTTCTTGTTATGCTGAATTATATTTTATAAAGCATTTTCAACACTAAGTTGTAAGGTGCGTCTTATATTACTTTGAGGTTGCTCTTAATTGTTGGGCCTATTAATGAAGGGTGATAGACAGTGATGAGTTGCTGAAAGGATGATCATAAATAAGTTGCATGAATAAAAAAAATCCTTGTAGAAATAAAAACAAGTTTATCTGGTAAATGAAGACATTTTTCTGAAAAATAAAACTTGTGCAGATGTTTAATAATTATGCAAGCAAATCTGCCTTTTCTGCAACAATTTTTTCACTTATGTCCCTAATGGTGTATTTGGTAAGCATTAGTGCTTCATATTTTTTACTTTGAAAACTACAGTTTTCTATGATCTGTAAAGCTATATATGTATATACAATAAATGCAAGTGCTGCTTGCTAAATATATATATATATTATGATTTGTATTTATTATTTTTTTACTTTAATTACCACTTTTTAACTACATTTATATTCTGACTAGAAGTTGGGCCTGCGTCAGTCATGGTAGGAAATATGGTGCAAGGTGTGCGTCTAGCTTCTGCTCAAGGTCGAGATATTGGTGTTATTGATGATGATAGTGACACGGCTAGAAAATATCAATTCATATCTGAGATACTTAAGTGGAGGGTAACTACTACTGCAGATCATGTTATCTTCACACTTTTCAATTCAAAAGTAACTATTTTTTATTTTTGTGAAATTCAATATCTTTATGTGCTCTACTGTTTAATTTGTATTTTAATGTTTATAAAAGCGGTTATTTACATGGATCATAGGTTACTTTCTTAAGTGAGACCCAGTAGCATTTAGTTGCAATTTACATCTACAAACTTTCTTCTTTATTATTGCAATATTTTCATACAATTTGATGCATATTTGTGTATAAATGTGTGTATTACTGATCTTGTTTCAATTAATAACACCCTAGTCTAGTTATTAATTTTCAACTACATAAGTAATATAAATATTTAACTACAAATAATTTCTTTTTTTAAATAATGACATTAAATATTTTATTTACAAAATTTTTCAGTATTTTCAGTTGTTAAGTTGTTGTATACACAAAATATTTCTTAATGTTGCTGTATTCTCACTAAACAGATTGAATAAATATTTTATTATTCGTTTCAAACTTTTTTACTATCAACTTTTTTTAGCCATTTTATTAATAAGTAACATGGAAATTTCAATTCATGATATATAAATATGTCCCTTGCTGAATTTCAAAAATGTTTTTAAATATTTAAGAAAAAGTATTTGCTGTAAACAATTTGAAGAATGGTAAAATTTTAATATTGTATCCCTTAAAATAAGTTTATTTTTCTTGTAGTTTAATTTTGTAAGCTACATATCGCCCATTTAAGTGCAGGCAATATATAACCTCGTGATTTGTACCTGGCTAGTCATAGTTTATTACGTGATCTTCAATTAATAATATTGTAAACTATATTTCTTTTGTATTTAAAATTAATATTTACTTAAAAAGAGTTAATTTACAAAAATTGATAATTTTGTGATATTTGTCAAAAATATTCTGTATTTTTATTGGAAAAAAAAGAGAAACTTTTATCAAAAGGTACTCATTGCAAGTATTTGATTCTTGAAATTGAAGTTTTACTACAATAGTATTTATACTGCAATATTAGCAATAACTTTTTTTTTCTATTACTATCATTTGTTTATTGTATTTTTTTCATTATTAGAAATTTTAAAAAACATACAAATTACCTATTTTACATATTTTTAAATCTGTATTTGATTTTAAGCTACAAAATGGTGTATGATTGTTTTATGTTCTAAGAACTGTTTTAAGTATATTTATTTTTATGGTTTGTGAAGTATAATTTACGACAAAATTATCTTAATTAAACGGTCATTCAAATATCTAGATGTAGAACATAATTTAGACTGACTAATAGGCAACTATGCTTGCCATTTAATTTTTTATATAGACAAAAATAATTCTAACATTCATAGATTATTGTACCTGTTTAGTTACTGTTTTAGTCCTTTTTAAGGAAGTTTTTATTCGTTTCAGATCAAAAGACGTACTTATGTTTGTTAAATTAACCTGTATATATTTTGTGACAATTTACTGATATTACTGTTTAATTGATTACTTTTAGGGTGGAATTACAGGAACTTTGACATGCTCTCAACTTCATAAGAGAGCTGAAAGAGTTGCATGTTTATTGCTAGAAAAAGGAAAATTGAACACTGGTGACCATGTAGCTCTTATTTATCCTCCAGGGTTAGACCTGATTTGTGCTTTTTATGGCTGCTTGTATGTTGGTAAGTTTTTTAATTTATTCATGTACCTTCAGTTATAATAATGCATAATATCTTTAAATATATGTTTTGATGTCTTTCTTATAGGCGTTGTTCCAGTAACAATTCGACCACCACATCCCCAAAACCTACAGACAACTCTTCCTACAGTACGAATGATTGTTGATGTTAGCAAATCAGTTTTAATTTTATCTACAGCTCCTGTTTCTAAGCTATTGAAGTCTAAAGTAAGATTTTTATTCTTAAAGCTCATTAGAATTTTTCTGCTTTTAAATTTTTTTTTCTTTCATTTTTATAATGTTTTTCAAAATGATTCAAAATGAATTTCTTTTTGAAAAATGTTTTGTGCATAAAAAGCTACACATGAAAAGTCTTCCAGAATTCGTGTAAAATTTATTTGTTCTTTATTGTATATTAGTTTATTGTAAGCATCTACTCTTGATTTTTTCAGGTGAACTCTAAGATGCTGTTTATGGGTAAAATATTTGTATGAAAAATTAATAAAAGCTTTACTTATCAATAAGATAACTATAAAAACACAATTGAACTGGGGATCTGTTTAATCTTTTGCCTTAACCCCTTCCTTCTCGCTCCCGGGAAAATGACGGGGTGAGGTTTTGCCCTCTATTTCTCGCTCCCGTTGGCTGGAGTGTTCAGTGGTAACGCACCAATGAGAATAAATCTAATTCATTTCTTTTGCCCGGAAAACATTTTATTTCTCATTTTACACACCAGATGGCAGTACCAGGATATTTTAAGGTAATTGGTGAATAGTTAGTTTATTTTAAACTAGATTTCAACATTAGTAAATTATCAGGGATAAAAAAATAAGCACTTTTATAACCGTTTTCTTGAAAATTAACTGATCGTTAAGGGGTTAAATATGAATTAGTTCATGGTGCAGCCAAATCTATGTGCCTGAAATACCATTATTAGCATAAATAATCTTTTGTGTGCCACCTGCCATTATCAAACGACATTTTAGGAATCGAAATTTTATGCATGGATTAAAAAAATAATGGATAAGTTTTAAATGGCTAAATCCTTAACAATAACTTACTTGAGGTTAAGATTTTTTGCTTTATTGTTTGCTGCAGGAATATTGTTGTAGTATTTTGAAGATAATTATTTTTCATTTTATAGCAATTTCCAATTTTGAAAAATGAATAGTAACTGATAAAGAAAGGAATAAAAATGAAATGTTATATTTTTACTTTGAAAACAATGTCACTAAATGGTAAAAAATATTAAAGCACGAGGATGTGTTTACTTATGTTGCTGAGCAATATTTGATTTGTATCAAATTCATCTCAAAAATTAGCTGAATGTAGAGCTGAACTTGCTGAAATATCTATTAGATGTATTGTGTAATTTAGGATTATGGTTAAAACACACTTTTTGAAAAATGTCCATTTAAAATCTTAGAAAATTAAAATATTTACTATAGATAAGAGGAGTGTTTTTCAAGTTCTTTCAGTGGTTTTTTTTTCTTCATAAATTGCGATTTATATGCTCTCCATGTAATTAATATATTTTACATTGTTTATTGTACTTTTTTTTAACTTTTTGGATATTATAATTATTAATTATTGAGAATTTTTAATTTAAAATTAATTAGATTCTTAATTTTTTTTCTTTTTTGCCCGTAGGAAGCAGGCAATGTTGTTGATATAAAGTCATGGCCTCTCATCTTAGATACTGATGACATTCCAAAAAAGAAATTAACTAGCATATATAGAGCTCCAACTCCTGAAATGATAGCTTATTTGGATTTTAGTGTTAGCACAACTGGAATGCTAGCTGGTATTAAGGTATTAAAATATTTTACTGTCTTATTTGTATTCTTAAAATATTGTTTTAAATTAATTGGGATTAGCTATTCATAACTTTATTTAGTATGTGTATTTTGACTTAAAAAGATAAAATATTTCAGATGTCCCATGCAGCATCAACTTCTTTATGTAGAAGTATGAAACTTGCCTGTGAATTATATCCATCAAGACATATAGCTCTTTGCCTTGATCCTTACTGTGGTTTAGGTTTTGCCTTATGGTGTTTGAATAGGTATCTAGTTAACTTTACTCACATTAATTAAATTAGTGAAGTTTTTTTATTCTCTTAAAAAGTCAAAACCATTTCTGAATTTTTTTTTTTAAGATGAGATTATAAAATAATATTTTATATTATGTTTTTAATTTAGTCAATGAATGAATGTCGGTTTTCATATTATTCTTATTTTGTTAACTTTATTTATAAAGTTTTCTACTTAGAATATATAACAGCATGAAATTTGTTATGCATTTCTTTTGCAGTTTCTGAAAATTAAATAACAAAATCTGCAAAAGCAATTTTTTTTAGGAACCAGTTTTTAATATTTTCTTTTTAATTGATTCAAGACCAAAGTTTTTTATGGTAAAATTTAAAGAGTATTTTTGAGAGTTTATTCTCTCACTTAAATTTATGTAAGTTTATTTCTATTACTATTACAGTGGAAAGTCGCGTATCCGGAATCGGCGGAACTTTCCGAAGTCCGGATAATCGATTTTACCGTATAATAGACCCCAAGGTAAACAGAGATTAAAATGATCTGAATCTAAGAAGCAGAAATTAAATAACATTATTTTTCGGGCAATAATGTTTTAGTATTAGAATGATATCTAATCAATCAAAAACAAAATATTTAAAAAAAAATAATTATTGCTATTATAAAAATAAATATAGGAAACTAAAAAAATTTACAGTTATGAAAATATTAATTGCTCTCTCCGCCATTTTGAACTAGAACGTTTCAAGCAAGAAGGGGAAATTCCCGTCATTCATTCATTAAGGTGGGTAGGTGAAGAAGCAAAATTCATTTCCTTCTTACTTGTCATTCAAGTTGAAGGGGGGGAAGTGACAAGTTCTTATTTTCTCTCCTGTCATTGGCTATCAATCAAGCATAAAGGCGTGGCATGCTGATTGGGTTCTCTTTATTTTTTCTTGTGTGACTAAAGGGGATTCCCCCTCCACTTTAACGTTTGCTGTGTTTACCCTTTTTCACAGTACTTCTTTCCCTAACACTTTATCAAAAAGGTTCCAGGAAATGCCTCTTTTACTAGCCAGCTGCACAGGAAAGAAGGGGGGAGGGGACTCAATTGTGCTCTTTTGAAA